TGTTAAACAATTGATACCTGCTATAATTGGCCTCCCAGGCGGCCTTTGGGAGTTCTTAGGAATTTTTGGCAGGTGATAAAAGTGAGGGGTAGAGGGATTTTGTATATACAAGTAATTCAATTCAAGCTTAGAAATTATACCCTCATTCCTTGCCTTGTTAAGTACCTTCTTGAAGTCTTTAGTCAGGTACTGACCCAGTTTTCTATATGTAGCTGGATCAGAAAGGAGTCTAAAGGCTTCATCCAAATAATCACTTCTGTTTTGGATCACGATGCCACCCCCTTTGTCCACCTGTCTGATCATGATCTCTTTATTTTCCCTCAGGGCATTGATGGCTTTCTTCTCCTCCCCAGACAGGTTAGTCAAATCTTTAGATCTCATATTGCAAAGATTCTTAATGTCAGTAAATACTAACTGAAAAAAAAAAAAATGTCCAAAAAAGGGGGGGGGGGGTGGGAAATATATTTTGGCTTTAATCTGTATGTGCATGCTATCAGGATCTAACATAGATTCTAACTCCAAATTGATGCCACCATCCCACAACTCATTGAGTCATTGAGCAATATCTTTATCCTGGTCTTCTACCCAGATCCTAGGCAGTTTTATCTCCAAATCGGATATAGGACCCCCTCTTTCTCTGTGTTTTAAAATGTAGTGCCTATATAGTGTATGTTTCTTTATCAATCTTTTCCCCTGGTGTTCTAGTTTGGGGGATTTGTCCGTGCCATGTCTTTTTTATTAAGCAGGCTACAAATGTGTAAACATAGCTGGTCTCTATGGTAATCCGTGGAGGCCTTCTAATGGGTCTCTTCAGGAGAGGCACTTGATCGGTGACTTTTTAGTTTTAACATGCAGGCTAGCTCAAGATTGGTGGATTTGATGATGGGGGCGTGCCCCGGAAACGCGTTGGCCACAAACACAATAAGCAGCGAGGCGGCATTCCAGCCAGCGGATCGGCGTCTTCTGTGTAGATTGCCTAATACGGGTTATGTACTTCCCACACTCTGATTTGAAGGAGATTTACATCGCTTATTACTTGTACAATAAAACGATCTTGCACATGTCGGGGTCGCTCTGTGCTTTTGCTTTTAGACAGTCTTTTTATTAGACCGGTATCTCCAGCGTCTCTCTCCTTCTGCAGCGGTCTAAAGATCCTGGTGTCATCACGCTCTATACACTGTGTATAGATGTGAGGACGCGGAGGAGTAGACACACTTCAGTAATCACAGAAGCAGGAAGCCGGTTCCGATGGTCTGGTGAGTGTAACTTCTTTTTTTTTTTTTAGCACCTAGACAAAAACCAAACACTTAACCTTTCCAATGGGGGGCTAGCCCCACTGCAAGGGTTCATACAATTTTTAACCAAAGTTTCTTCTTTAATCGTTAGGCTCTTACAAAATACATGCCTTTTTTTTTCTTTTTTTTTTCTTTCTATTTTTTTTTTATTTTTTTATATGGACCATTTTAGCAAATTGTAAGTGCTCAGATTCAAGCTCAGTGTGGTTTGTGCATCAATGGGCCCCAGCCTGTTCTGTTCCTTCATATGGAATGTTCTGGAGCAAAGCTGCGAAAGCCATGTTCTGAGTGCCATAAATTGTCAGGAGAAGGAGGGAAGGCGTAGGGACCGTGGATTTCACATTACTGTTCAGCACATTTGCTGGAATTGTTCTTTTACATGTACGGCATTATTGGCTGTTTATCTTATACTTTCACTGATGATATTGTGGCCGAGCATAATACAAGTGCACTGTTATATTGTGGGTGGAAGGGTTCAAGTGAACATCCCCTTTAAGTCTGTGGTTTATAATGTATTTAACTATTGAGGGTACTACAATATCTAAAGTTATCTGAGAACTTATATTTTGAAAAAAATCTTTTTCTGCCTGAAATTATCTACCGGTGCCAATGTATATGTACCAGAGTGATATGTTAATGCATGTTTATGTTGAAGGCTGATATTACTGTATTGCTTGTTTTGATAATGGAAATGTGCCAGAGGATTGTTTTGTTGATATTGATGTATTGAGTGTTCCATCTTAATGGCACTCTAATGAAATGTCTTCCAATTTGGAAAAGTGTATGGAAAAGTAGATCAATGATCAATGAAATGGAGCCGCAATAAAACTCACACTTCGCATGAACCAAAAGGGCACATTGCAATATTACCAATCACATTGTTTAAAATTGGCAAAAAAGTTCATTATTAACAGAAAAAACAGACTGGCTCCCTCATCTGAGCTAAATCCTGGGCAGCTTCTATTGCATGATCTACCAGGAGCTTTGTAGTTACAGGAAACTGAACATTTGTTTTCGGTCAGGCAAGCCTTAAGCTAACTATACACTAGTAGATTGTGACAGATTAAAAAGAAATGCCGCTAGTTTACACATTAGAAATTTGGTGGTAATGAAGAACAACTCTGAGCACTGGCGTCTCTCTCTACTCCAGATCATAGTGGGGTATGTATGTATGTATGTCCCACTTTTGGTATATTGGTTGCTAGGACACGGGGCCACCGGCATTCTAGCAACCAATGATGCATCCCCAAATAGCTGATGAATTTTGTCCAAAATGGGCCTTGGCTCCAGATGCAATGAAAACACAATTGAATGACGCATGCTCTTTCTTTAGCTAATCCACAGTTCTCTGGGAAATGTGTCTTTTTTTGGGGGGGGAGGGGGTAAAGTTAAAACACATAATACATTGGCTGAAAACCATTCTCTTTTACTGAACATCTCATGCATGATTGATTGTGGGATGAATGTTTGCTCTTTTAACATTATCAGAGATCTTCTAGCTTGTCCTGTACATTACCTACAATGTTGACTGTTGTTCAGGTTAGAGTCCAATTTTTAAAAGCTTGGCGATACAGGTATATAGGTCAATCAAGCTTCACTTTGTAGGGGATACACTGATATACTGATTTATTTGTTGTTGTTCATGTATAAATATGCTTAAAATTGTTCAACTTAATGTAATTAAATGCTTCCTTCAAATTTTGTGTTCAGTGTGTAAATATATGTACGTGTGGCGTTTGCCATAGTTGCGCACATACTCCCAGTTCTGCTTCCTGCCGTGCAGTGTCTGCTCTTAGTCAACTTACAGATTTGCACTGTAAGAAATGGTTAAGACCAATGCACTTTGAGTGGAATTTATCAAAGCTTGAACAGACAAAATCTGGAGCAGCTCTGCGTAGCAACCAATCGGCTTCTCTCTCTCATTTTCAAACCTTAACTGAACAAACTGAAGAGAGAAGTTGCTTGGTTGTCCTGGGCTACTGCTCCGATTTTTTTTTTTGCCCCGTGTTGATAAATTCCCCCCTTTGTTTAGCTGATATGATAACTCTACAGTTAAGTGTATGTCTGAGCAAAAAACAAAATATCAGTATATCTGTATCCTTTAGTGTCATCAGGGAGATGTATCCTTTAAAATCACTGCAAGTACATATAAAGTACCTGCTAGAAAACCATTGAGCAATTTACTTTTTGAGCTGTCAACACATTGCCTCCGCTGCACTAAAATCCCAAGCAGTGTTGTTTGCCCTGGCTAATTTTCTGCTGCTGGACTAATCCCTTATGGAAAAGAGAAGGCAAGGTGTTCTGTAGTGCAGCAAGAGAGAATTAAAAGAGAACTAAAGGCAAGTGGTTTTCCCCATAGTTCTCTTAACGGTCACGGGAGGACATATACTGGCCTCCTCCCGTTACCCAAAGCTCAGTAGCTTGCGGTATACTGAGACCTCCACGGCCAGGACGGATGCCGAGATTACGGTCGATCCACCCAGCGGCATAAATGGGAGCTGGCTCTGCCTATCTAGAGGCAAAGCCAGGTGTACCTTCCCCCGTCCGTTCCTCCTGTCACTGCTGGAGGATCAGAGCGGGGAGAGGGGTAATCCCTGCAGGGAGCGGTGACGTCACCGCTCTCTGCAGGGAGATGATCGAGAAGTGAGCGAGCGACTGTGTGTGTGTGTGTGTGTGTGTGTGTGTGTGTGTGTGTGTGTGTTCGCTCACTTCCCGATCTACTGAGCTGACGTTTGACCGTTTCATTAACACGTCGGCTTGAACTATGAGGATGAGTGATTTTCACTCACCTCATAGTTCTCCTTTTAATGTCCTTATTTTTTCCTACAGTCACCGCTCTCTGCAGGGAGATAATCGAGAAGTGAGCGAACGACCTCCTAGTTCACTCACCTCATAGTTCTCCTTTAAGGCAGACCTTATGACACTGCTTTGGATTCAGTGCAGAAGCGTTAGCTCGGCACTGAGCTCTCTTGGTTTTTTGGCAGGCTCAACAGGTACTTCTCTGTACTTGCAGCGTTTTCAAAGAGACAAAACCTGGAGAAATATTCATATATTCCTGACATGTATTATAAATGAATACATATGCTTTTTGTCAATGTATAAATCTCTGTAATTAATCGTAGAAATATGAAGCATGAAGAATTTAAAAATAAAGGTAAACACTGCAGTGACACCAAACTCGGGCATTAAATTTTTTTAAGTGGTTTTATAATTATATTTAAAAAATCTTGCCGTTTTTTAAAAACCGTGTTAGCAGGTGTAGTGCGATATTCATCAATGTACATGAGGGCAGCCATGTTTGCTTATTGTACATAAAGTCTCTGCTTAAGTCACTGCATGTCTACCAGTCACAGTTCGTCTTATTGATAATGTGAATCTTTATTGATGCTAAACACCCCCATGGTGCTCCTTGGAGCCAAAAATTATTTGATCTTGAAAGAGGTATTTCTTTATCATTTACTCCGAAGAATGCAATTAATAATGCTAAAAGGCCCTGTTGATGTGAAGTGTGACTTTTTAATGATTGATCCATCTTGAATACATTGCCTTCTCTACGTTTTTCTTTTTGTGTACAAATGTTTTATGTAGTTAAAGTTAGAGTGCCCTAAAGAACATGTCTTCTTGTTGTGCAGAACTGTATGTTTTTAGTAAGCTACATAATGTCTCTATGTAATTCTTTTTCTCTCTATTTAAATGCTTTCCCAGCAAGGACAAGTTTGGAAGGTTTGCATTGCTTTTCACCTTCCCTTTGCCCACTTTAAATCTGGATTCATAACATCATGACTTCTTCTCTCTGTAATCTACAGCACAACCATAAAAATCACTGATCAGAATTGAATAGCACTAACTGAACCCCCTAATAACTGTATGTGGCCCCCAAGCATGCAGGCTCCTTTGTGCATGTATGACTGTCTGTTTTTTCTCCTATTGGATTTTGTTCATAATGTCTTCTCTTTTTTTAAATTTTTGTTTTTCTGGCTGTTTTTAAAGGACCCAAGACGTTTTGCTGCACAACAAGGCACAGTTAAAAGCCATGTGCGTAGCTTTAATGTGTACTGCACAATGCTTAAAGTGACAAACTCAGAAGTTAAATCTTAAAAATACATTCAAGTACTTTTAACTATTAACATAAATGTAGATCCTCAAATCATCTCTGAATTCATGCTGACACTGTCCTTCCTTCTGGAGGGTGGCTACTTTTCTTCAATTTGTATTCCTCTATAGCCGATGGTACATTGTGCTGTATGTTATACAGCACAATGTACCATCGGCTATAGAGGAATACAAATTCCAGCAATACATTGTACACTGTATGTATAATATATTGCTGGGATTTGTTGTATTCGTATATAGCTGTTGGTATTCTGCATTGCGCTGTATAGAGGACTACAAATCCCAGCAATAATACATTATACAGCGCAATGCGGAATACCACCAGCTATAGAGTACAATAAATCCCAGCAATAATCCATTATACAGTGGTGCAATGCAGAATACCACCAGCTATAATGTACTATTGCTGGGATTTGTTGTATTCCTCTATAGCTGGTGGTATTCTGCATTGTGCTATATAATGTACTATTGCTGGGTTTTGTAGTCCTCTATAACCTGTGCCATTCTGCAATTCATTGCTGTATAATTTTACACTTCATTTCACTATATTGCAGCACCACACCACACTTTTTTTTTTTTTCTTTTTCTTTTTCTTTTTTACTTCCACCGCTCCAAGCTTGCTCCTGTGATGGGACTACAATCTTAATACAAACTAGTAGTCCCATCACTGGAGCCATTTTTAAAAATGTATTTTTATTTTTTAACCGATTAATTGAACGTAATAATCGGCTAACCGATTTTTGAAAATAATCATTAGCTGCGGCTCTACTCCAAGCTCACTCCTGTGATGGACTACAATCTCAATACAAATGAGTAAACAAAATGTGGGCTTGGAGTGCTGACTACTTTACAATACACGCAGGGACCATGTGGAACAAAAGTAGTCACCCTCCAGAAGGAAAGATAGTGTCGGCAGCAGTTCAGAGATGATTTGAGGAACTACAGCTGAGTTTTACACAAATTAGATACATTTTGGTAACATCTATGGTACTTATATGTATTTTTGAGATGTAACTCCTGAGTTCAGTGTCAGTTTAATAATGCAGGCATAGACAACTGCTTTAAATGTGTCCACTCCATTGCACTTCCCGTCCACACATTTTATTTTCATCCTCCCCATTTGATAATTTTAAGTTTATTTGAATTCTTTTTATGCTGCTTTATTGGTGTTTAAAAATGAATACACATAATATGTTTATGTATTGTTCTACTTGGTTAGTGAGATATTTCAGCTCAGGATTATTAAAGGGGTTGTTCACTTTTAAATGTAATTATTTAATGCTAACTCCACTCCCTTGTTCAGCTAGGTCCATTTTCTCCCTTCTTTCCCAGAATCTGGTATAATGGGACATGGGAGGACAGTAGTTACAGGGTTTATTTCTTTTTTTGCACAAGTCTAGATTGACTCACTATTGCACCAACATTATATTCCCCTTGCTGGCTCCGGGGTGAAATTTGCCCACCCCCCCACTCTAAACCCTAATGGGAATCTCTCATTTTTGCATTAGAGCAGCTGCTCAGCGTTAAATATTTGAGGCCAGCCTTGAACTTGAGTATTGATGACCCACAATCCAATTTTGGTTCTTAAATTCTTTTAGCTCTGGCTTAAACCCCATCTTTTCTTGTGTATATATGGCAGTATTCCAGCTTTGGCACTGATAACCAGGTGAGAACACCTGCTGTATGAAAGATGGAGGAGGAAACAAAGCTACGTACCAGATGAGTGCTTGCAGGATGAGAGCGCTGGTGCTAATGCTAAAGGGGTTTTCATATAGATAAAGATATTTAGTACAGTTCCGGTGGGGGTTCCTAACATGGTTTTGGTGGACAAGAAGTGTTTGAAACCCAGCCTATTATCAACTAGGGAGTTGTCATGACAAAAATGCGTGGACAGATCCAGCTTTTTATTTGTTTTCTGCCTTTAAGTGTACTGTAGATAAAAACTTGCGTTTTTATTACAGTCCTTTAGAACACATTTTTTTTTCTTTTTCAATTCATAGCATCAAAACCAAAGCTAAATATTTTATTCTTTCCAATTTCTTATTTACCATTTTTATTTATTTCTGTACACAACTCTACCTCAGCTTTATGTTGTATGAATATTTTTATTTTATTTATCTAGGTTTTAACACGGCACTTTCCACACTGCTTTAAACATCTCCATACCTTTTTTTAAATTCTATTTTTTAAAAGAACTTCTATCCTTTTCTGATTCATTCTTGGTTTCAGCTCTGACAGCCCTTGCATTGCCTGCTTTTTTTATTTTCTCATCTCACTCTGGAACAACAGTCTTTTTCAGTCTGCTGTTACCTTTTTTTTTTTAAAAAAAGAAAATAAAATGTTTTCCAATTTCATTTTTGTTAGGCATGTGGGGACCCCAAAGCCAAACCTTCTTACCTGATTGATAAAAACTTGGAATCTGCTGTCAAGTTTATTGTCCGGAAGTTTCCAGCAGTTGAAACCCGCAACAACAATGTAAGTAAACTTTTATAATTTGGAAAAGAAAAATAATGTATGCTGATTTTCTGTGTACCTAAATCATGGGATGTTAGATCTCTTATTTCTTCAATCAAGACTTGCTTTTATGGGAGACATAGAAATTATCGGTCTGTATCTTGAAACTTAAAGCCAGCTCCATGCTAGTGGAAGCACTGGTATCGGCACTTGGTATCGGCAAGTAATGAAAGCTAAATAACGGTACACGATACTGAAAAAACGGTATCGGTGCATCCCTAGTACAAATCTTTCATAGGTAATACTGCAGGTTTGTACTCGTTTTGAAGTATGTAATTTTCACCCTTTTTGTTTTCATTTAAAGTAAATCTAAAGCTAATCACTAAAATATCATATAATGTATTTCTAAAGGTAACATACATTTTGTTAAATCTGCAGGCTTTATTAAAAACACTGGGTAATCCTGCCATGAAGTTCCTTGTTTCCTGTTATGGGTAGACAGTGCTCTGTCCGTGTCTCTGTTGCTCTCTTGCGTTTTCACCCTGTGACATGTTCTTCCAATAAGGACTATAAGTGACATAAAGATGCTCACTGAGCAGGCATGTTCCGCTTTTGTCACCATCAGGAAGGGCCCCCTCAGCAATGACATGGAGCTACTGCTGAAGCGCACGCATATAGACAGGAAATGGCTAAAAGAATTTTCATTAAAGAATTTAAAAAAACAAAAAAACTCTTAAACACAGTGCTTTGGCAAACTAATTGCATTCAGTTAGGCTTTAGCTTTACTTTAATGTACAGTGATGTGTTGATGCTTTCTAAATAAAACATGGTAATGGTTTTATAGCTAAATGTTCAAGTTCTTGCATTAACGTAGTTGCGACCAGATCTCCTTTTTAAGCTTTCACTGTTGTATAAAATAGTTCAAGCTTGCATGTCATCTGTGACAAACATGCAAGGTCTTGGTGAAAGAAATGGAGAGCTGCCAGTTTAAACCATTCAGAGGCAATTGAAGTGAACTACAGTTTGTTGGGGGCATGCCATCAACTTAAGGCATCATTCCTTAGATAACCTAACGTGATCACACAAGTCTGGTTTAACTGTAGAGGAGGAGGGGTGACCACCAGCACAGATGAATGTCCTGCTTCATGTTCACGGACGTTAATAATAATGGAAAGCGCACTCCCATAAGAGCATTTCTCATGGGTACATTTTTCTCTTCTGAAGTCAAAGCTTTTTCTTTTTTCACAGTGTTATTATCTTGAATATACATAAATTATTGCATGACAGGTATGCTGCACTTCCTTATAGCTTATTTCCGGGAAGACTGAAAAGGTGATTCACTGGCTGGGGATAAAGGGAGGTGAACTCAGCTGGTTTAACTTGTCCTACCTTTTGAGTATGTGTCTGCAGTTGAGTGTGGTGTAAATAAATGTGAACTACTATTGACATTCATTGCTGCAATTTTTTTAAACAGCTGTTCACATTATTGTACAGGCTGGGTGTGTTTTGGTGAAGTTCAAACTCGCAGCTGATAAGCTTAGCAAATATTTGGGATGTGCATTCCATATGACAGTATGGAGCACAGAGCATTGTTCTTTACATTGCAGGAGATGTGGAGAGACTTACACGGCCGACCTTTGCTTTCTTTGTATCAAAGGTAGCTTGAATGGGCTATGCGTATTCTACATCATTTACTGAATATTGCCAAAAACCCGGCCCATTCGTGAAGTGAGTTATTGTAGGAGCCGGTACTGTGAAAAAGAAATCTTAGTTTTATGCCTCATCAGATTTATACAACACAGAAGAACCTCATTTATATATTGAAGACAGTATTTTGTTCGGACCGGACCACAGGCATTGATGTGCCTTGCGTTCCCGTGCAGCCAATCGCATTGTGGCCGGAGGGCGTGGCTATGGTGTCATTCACTTCAATGGACTGCCACGCTCCCTCCTGCCCCACAACATAGTGAGCCGGCCGAAATGCGTTCTAGTGTGTTCCGGCCAGAATCGGGCCGGAACGCACTGTCTGGTGTGAAAGAGGCCTCAAGTACAAAAAAATCTTATTTGTGCATCATTCTCGAATCATCTCTGAATTGGTGCTGACACTTTCCTTCCTCCTGGAGGGTGGGTACTTTTGTTCCCCATGGTCCCTGTGTGTTGTAAAGTAGTCACCAATCCAAGCTCACTCCCGTGATAGACTATAGCTTCAATATAAATTCGCTAGCTAAACATGAGATTTTAGTCAATCACAATAGTGAGCGGTGGCTACTTTAGAACATAGACAAGGGACCAAGGTGAACAAAAATAGCCACCCTCTAGAAGGAAGGACAGTGTCGGCACCAATTCAGAGATGAGTTGAGGATCTACAGCCGAGTGATACACAAATTAGATAAATTTTTGTGAATAGTGAAGGTACTCGAATTAATTTTTAAGCTTTAACTCCTGCAGAGATGATGTGGGTGTGCATAGAAAATTATTGGTTTTGAAACTTTCCATAGTTGCCAATCTATAAGTAATTTGTATTATTTTATACAAGATCTGAATGGTCTACAATAGGCTGATACTCACCAATGGTTATGACTAAGCTTGATAGAGGTTTTGTTATGGTACCAAAGCAGTAATTTCTGAAAAGATTGTCTAAAACACGTTCCAAGAGGAAACTGAGGGCTGAGTACAGGTTTGTGCTAGTTGAAGATGTGCTGTGTGTGACGTTACATGAAGCTTACCCAGCAGGGGATGTTTGGGGAGCTGTAGTAAGCTACAAAGCCAATATACACTCACTGGCCACTTTATTAGGTACACCTTGCTAGTACTTGGTTGGACCGCTTTTTGTCTTCAGAACTGCTTTAATTCTTTGTGGCATTAATCCAACAAGGTGATGGAAACATTCCTTAGAGAGTTTGGTGCATACTGACATGATCAGTTGCTGCAGATTTGTCAGCTGCACATGCACGATGCGTAGCTCCACCAGCCTGAACCGTTGATGCAAGGCAGGGTGGATCCATGCTGTCATGTTTGCATCAAATTCTGACCTGACCATCCGAATGTTGCAACAGAAATGAAGACTCATCAGACCAGGCAACGTTTTTCCAATCTTCTATTTTACAATTTTGGTGAGCCCTTGCAAACTGTAGCCTCAGTTTCCTGTTCTTAGCTGACAGAAGTGGCACCCGGTGTGGTCTTCTGTGGCTGTAACCCATCTGCTTCAAGGTTCAATGTGTGGTGTGTTCAGAGATGTTCTTCTGCATACCTCAGATGTAACAAGTGGTTATTTGAGTTACTGTTGCCTTTCTATCAGCTTGATCCAGTCTGGCCATTCTCCTCTGGCATCAACAAAGTATTCTTGCCCAGAGAGCTGCCGCTCACTGGATATTTTCTCTTTTTCAGACCATTCTTTGTAAACCCGAGAGATGGTTGTGTATGAAAATCCCAGTAGATCAGCAATTGCTGAAATACTTAAGCCAGCCCGTCTGGCAACAACAACCATGCCATGTTCAAAGTCACTTAAATCCCCTTTCTTCGCCCTTTCTTGAGCCATTGAGATGCTCGGTTTGAACTTCAGCAGAATATAGAGAACTCGAGAGACAACTTGGTATACATCCTAAATGCTTGCTATGCCAATTCATTTGAGGTCTTGCAAACATTCTTCTATGTGCAATTTTATATGATATAATCCTTAATAACCTAATCCGATATAGATTATTATGCGTTTTGTTGACTGACTTTCATTGCTATTGTCATGTCAAGGGGATTGAAACATGTTATCATTTTCCTGTGCTGCAACAAAGAATGCAGTAGAAATATCAAGGGGCAGAAATACATGATTGCTGTATTTAAATATATGTAGAATATGGGGCCAAGGGTTATTTTGAGAAGATCCCATTTAGCCTCCTACTTTTACTAAATATGCACATATTCTGTCAAATATAATTTGCTGTTTTATGATGTTCTTGTTAGAAAATCTCACACACACACACATTACAAAAACAAATCAAGATGTGAAATAGTCTTACTCATGAAAGATGTGTCCATACAAAATGGATATTTCAGTATTGGGTAGATGCCAGTGGCTTGAATTGCCGTTCAGGTAAAGCTGAAGATGGTTAGCTCTTTTTCCCTTCATGGTAAAATACAGTACATTGGTGGGATCTCTATTCTAGACTATGCTAGGAAGATACGAGGCCAGTAATGGTGTGAACTCACTGGTCTGTTCCTTATGCTTAAATATTAGTTTTTGGTAGCCCTACCCTTTTTAATACATTGAAAAGTGTTTAGTAAAGCATATTTTGCATGCTGTATGTATGCTGGGATTTGATCTAAAATTATGCTTTTATGGAATCTGTTGCTTTTGGTGAAAACGTTACTTAAAATTCAATTCCGCTTTCATGAAATAACCTCGTTGCTTTGCTTAAGTGTGCATTACCTCATTGTGTTCATACTACCTCCTGTAACTATATCTTAACTTTCTAATATCTTTCTAATATCTCTTTTCCTTTCTCATTATTCTTGTGTGTCTAACAAGTGTTATTTGCTTCTCTTCTATTTTTAATTTTGGTTGCATTTGTTTGTATTGTGGTTTTATCTAGATCATTTTTACTGTATTTTATGTTTTGTATCTACATTTATTTTGCATGCGTGACGTGGCTTTGCCTGGATATTCTGTTTGGTAAGTTCAGAATTTTAAGTGTCCTTTGCTTCTACATCTAAGACTGTTGTCTTGCTCTCTCTTATAACATCTACTCTGTCCCTTTTTGTGGACTGCTTAGCTCTCTCATTTTCTGCTTTTTAATATCTTGTTTAACAGTTTATAAATGTTGCCTATTTGAATATATGTTTGCTAGTAGGGAGGTAAGTACACTCCATAGTTGAGGGCACACATGATTTCCAGAAGGCAGCCAAATGAAGTCAGGAGTGTGTTTTTTTTTTTTTGTTTTGTTTTTGTTTTTTGGATGCTTTATCACATTCAATTGTCTAAGTTTATGTATCAACTCTTTTTACAGCAACAGCTTGCACAACTCCAAAAGGAGAAGTCTGAGATCCTGAAAAATTTGGCACTTTACTACTTCACATTTGTGGATGTTATGGAATTTAAGGTGAACAATTTTTGTTATTGATTTTCTTTCCTGCATTATTGTGGTTCAAGTTCTCCATACACAGGTTTTTTTTTTTTGTTTTTTTTTTTTTAACTATCGCGAAAGCATTATGACAAATCTAATTAAAACGTACCCATTTTAGGCTGATAAAATTCTGCCTTCTTACAAGCAGCAACTTCCTATGGATGTATGTGGACACCCCTCCAAATTCAGTTCAGGTGTTTCCAGTAAAGAGTGCTGTTGATACTATGGCATACAGTACAAATACATTTTAGGCGACTACGCTTCCAACCTTTTGGCATCAGTTTGGGGAATGCCCCTTTCTGTTTCAGCCGGACAGTGTCCTTATACGCAAAGCCAGCTCCATAAAGGCATAGTTTGATGAGTTTATTGTAGAGGAACTCGAGTTTTCTACAGTGATACTCGACCTTGCATAAGCCAGGTGTTCTTGTCCAACATTAGTACCTGACTGTAACCTTTTGTGGAAAGCTTTCCAGAAGAGTGAAGGGGTTTAAAGCTACAAAAGTTTTGCAAACTTTATATATTCATGATTTTGGAATGCGCTCACACAGGTGTTATGGTCAGGTGTCTGTAACACCTTTTTAGTCATATAGAGTAGAACAGTGGTCATAGAAGCACCATTCCATCTGAATAAGGTTGCATCTTCTGTGTGCCTATCAGCAGCAGGGAAATGGGGATTTTAATTTGAGGATTCCCTTCTTTGACTACACAGAAGAGGCTAAAACAACATCCCATGTTCTATTTGGGGGAATCATGGTTTCACTGCCTCCTTGTGCCCATGATATTTTAGATTGCCAGTGGAAGCAGTCACAGGATCCATCAAATGTCAGTAAATTAAGTGCCTGATGCACACCATACAGCGTTGTGACCAGCGTAGATAAATAGGTGCTCGAAGTAATTGCTATGGATGGCGCAATGCAGAACCTCCGATATGACTGTTTCGGGTGCTTTGCAGGGTCCCTTCTTCAAGGCAAAACCGGTAAGGACCCTACGCAGCCCCAAAAATGTTAGCAATTTTAACCTATGTGACGTTATTTCCAATAAACAGTATTTTCTTTCCTTTCTGGAGTATGGGTGACCTATCTTCACGTTCATTAAATGTCAAACTTGCACTACATAATTGGTTACAGTAATTATGTATATAGCTTGTCCAAATCTCTGAAAGGCTTTTATTACTGTGTCAGCACTATTCAGAAACAAAATACTGTTTGCCAATCAATTCAATAAGTGCAGTTTGAACATAGAGTTGTGCTGAGAAGCTTTTGTTTGTCTCTGACTTGGAGGCCTTTGTGTACTGCAGGGTGGCTTTCCCTTTTAACACTGAATGGGTTATATTTCTAGCTATTGATTTTATTTATGTGTGTGTTCTATTTGCAGGATCATGTATGTGAGCTGCTTAACACTATTGATGTTTGTCAAGTTTTCTTTGATATTGTAAGTATATATAGACAAAACATTGCTTCTCTTTTTGAAAAAGCTGAAATGCTTATTTTTGATGTATATTATCATTGGAAAAATATTCATATTAAACTGCATATTTTAATTTGTGTGTCCAACATGGTTAGTAACTGTGTAATGGTAAATAATTTAGCTAGGAAAGTATGATAGAGCAACACTGCTCAAATTGTAAGACTGACCTATTTTATTTTTTTTTAATATTAATTTTGTAGTATTTGCTACAGTGACATGTAAAACCTCTCGCACATGCAATCCCGGAACAAAATGCTGCTTTTAGATCCATACAGCATTTGTTTAGGCCTCTGAATGCAGCTCTATAATAGCCAAGTTGTCCATGCATATTGTGACATTTAGATTCTTCATCTAGTGCATTATTCAGGGATGAATTTATGTGTGTGTTCTATTTGCAGGATCATGTATGTGAGCTGCTTAACACTATTGATGTTTGTCAAGTTTTCTTTGATATTGTAAGTATATATAGACAAAACATTGCTTCTCTTTTTGAAAAAGCTGAAATGCTTATTTTTGATGTATATTATCATTGGAAAAATATTCATATTAAACTGCATATTTTAATTTGTGTGTCCAACATGGTTAGTAACTGTGTAATGGTAAATAATTTAGCTAGGAAAGTATGATAGAGCAACACTGCTCAAATTGTAAGACTGACCTATTTTATTTTTTTTTAATATTAATTTTGTAGTATTTGCTACAGTGACATGTAAAACCTCTCGCACATGCAATCCCGGAACAAAATGCTGCTTTTAGATCCATACAGCATTTGTTTAGGCCTCTGAATGCAGCTCTATAATAGCCAAGTTGTCCATGCATATTGTGACATTTAGATTCTTCATCTAATGCATTATTCAGGGATGTAAAAAAAAAAAAAAGCCACCCAACCCTGTATTAGGAGAGAAGTGTACTGGTGGGGATTACGTGAACACATTAATTTTTGGGCAAACATGCATAAATTCATTTTAGGGGCTAGAATAAATTAACATACTAGCCACTAGAGTGAGTTTTTGAGTGTTCCCTTCTAAACGCTTTACACACATGCCATTGCATATGTTTTTCATGCTGGATCTTGCATAGATCCAGCAAGATCTAGCATAGGTATAAACATTTGATTACACTTATGCATGTGTCGCTACTGTGCATAAAAAGTTACAATTAAAGTTTGACTTTACCGTTTTCAAAATGTTTTATGTAGCCACTATCTTCCAAAAAACAAACAGGTGCCTAATTGGCAGGTTTAGCTTACCTTAGAACACCGTGAAACCCATGTAAACTCATTTTCACCTATGTAGCCACAGCTTGACCCTGCTGTCTTCTTTGCCTTTGTTAGTCAGCTAGGTTATCCCCCCATAGATTGCTCAGTAAGGAGGTGTACCTCCCCAGGTTACTTTAGGATGGAAGTGACCTATAAAGAATGTGAGAGTTGGGTGTCCTTTGTGACATGCATGTGAGTTTAAGGGAAACTAAAGTGTTTTTGAAATACTGTTTTTGGTAGAACTGTTCTTTAGTGTGTTCCTACAATGCAGCATTGGGCTATCACTAACTACACCTGAAATACAGTGTGGCTTCTTCCTCCTGTGGGAATGGCAGCTTGTACTCTCGTCGCTTGTGTTTATAGGAAACCTGGCCTGTGAGAAATGTAGGGGCTGACCGTCTAAGAACCCTGGCTTGTGTCTGGTTAGTCATTTTTTCATTCATTGGCCTGGAACAAGCTCTAGATAGGCAGAGCCAGCTGTCAGTCACGCAGCTGGGCGGATCCCGGCACAATTGTCGGGATCCGCTTCAGCTGCGGCGTCAGTATACCGCGAGCAGCAGCACGCGGTATACTGAGCCTAGGGTGACGGGAGGACGCTAGTTTGTGTCCTCCCGTTACCCTAAGGAGAACTATGGGGAAAAGTCTTAACCCCATAGTTCTCCTTTTAACACCAGCGAATACTTACTTTCAAGCGTGTAAAATATTTTTTTGTTTTGTGCTAAAGGTTAACAGTTGTGTTAATTCTGCAGACTGTCAATTTCGATTTAACCAAGAACTACTTAGACCTGATAGTAACCTACACTACACTCATGATCATGCTTTCTCGCATCGAAGAACGGAAAGCAATTATAGGACTATACAACTACTCTCATGAAATGACTCATGGTGCCAGGTATGTACTTCAATAAATCTAAAATGTAATTTTATTCTGTGAATACTAATTTTTCTGCCTGTACAAAATGTACTGAGTCTTGGGGGTTTATTACTTTTTGTACGGTTGTGTGAAAAAGAAATTACACCCCCTTTTGAATTGTTTGGTTAAGTATCATAATAAAAATCATGGTCCCTAGCAGGTCTTAGAATTGGGTAAATGCAACCTCAGATCAACAACAACGCATTACATATTACACCGTGCCATTTCTTTTACAAACATAAAGCCAAAATGGAGAAACCATGTGTGAAAACTAAGTACACCTTAACATTAATTAGCTTGTAGAACCACCTTTAGCAGCAATCACTTGAAGTTTTCTGTATGAATTTATCAGTCTCTCACATCATTGTGGAGGAATTTTGGTCCACACGAGGTTGCTTTTGAGGTTTGCGGGCATTTTTTTATGCACAGCTCTCTTAAAGTGACAAACTCAGTTAAATCTTAAAAATGCATTCAAGTACCTTAACTATTAAAGGAGAACTATGACATGAGTGATTTCCACTCACCTCATAGTTCTAAGCCGACCTGTGACAATGAGACTGTCACAGGTCGGCTCAGTAGATCGGGAGGTGAGAGAACACATACCGGGTTCCCTCACCTCTCGATCCTGTCACGGCTCTCTGCCATGACAGGGGGAGGGGCTGGATTCCCCTCTCCCCGCTCCGATCTGCCAGCGCTGACTGGCGGAACGGACGGGGGAGGGGGCGGGTACAGCTGGCTCTGCCTCTAGATAGGCAGAGCCAGCTGTCACTCACGCAGCTGGGCGGATCCCGTCATCTAAGTCGGGATCCGCTCCAGGTGCAGCGTCTCAGTATACCGCGAGCTGTAGCTCGCGGTATACTGAACTTAGGGTAACGGGAGGACGCTAGTTTGTGTCCTCCCGTTACCCCAAGGAGAACTATGGGGAAAAACACTGACCCCATAGTTCTCCTTTAACAAAAATCTAGCTTATTTATGTATCACTTGGTTGTAGATCCTTTTAAATCATCTCTGAATCGGTGCTGACACTGTACTTGGGGAGTGTGGCTAGTTTTATTCCCCCTGTGCGTGTTGTAAAGTAGCTACTGCTCCAAGCTTGCTCCTGTGATGTACTTTAACTTCAGTACAAATGAGCTAAATAAAAGTGAGAGAAGTTCATGGTCGACTCTGACTGCAATGTGCCCAGATCCTGTGGCTGCAAAGCAAACCCATATCATCACCCCTCCACCACCATGCTTGACAGTTGGTATGAGGTGTTTGTGCTGATATGATTTGTTTGGTTTTCACCAAATGTGGGACTGTACAATATGGCCAAACATCTCCACTTTAGTCTAATCTTTTCAAAGGATATTGTTCCAGAAGTCTTGTGGTTTGTTCAGATGCAAGCGGTACTGCCATGTTCGTTTTAAGTAGTAGAGGCTTTCTCCCAGCAACTCTTCCAAAGACTTCAGTCTTTTTCTAATGGTACGGTCATGAACGTTAACATTTAACATGCTGAGGCCTGTAGAATCTGAGATGTAGCGCTTGGAATTTTGCAGTTTCTTTGAGCCTTGTACAGTCTGATCTTGGGTTGAATTTGTTGGATGTCCAGTCCTAGAAGGATTGGCAACTGTCTTGAATGTTTTCCACTTGTGATCTTCCTCGCTGTAGAATGATGAACCCTAAATTTGGAAATGGCCTTCTAACCTTTCCCAGATTGATGGACAGTGAAATTACTTCTCTAAGATCATTGCTGATGTCTCGCCTCCTTGGCATTGTGTTAACATACACCTTTTATAGTGGTGGTCACACTTAGTGATGATCAGTTCAACAAGGGCATTTGATTAGCAGCACCCGGCTGCTACTTGGCCTTAATTCCTATGGCAGCAGTAAGGGTGTACTTAGACCAGATTAGTATTAAGTCTTTATACTTAAAACCATAGAATTCAAAGACTGTCAGGGTTATTCACAAAAGGGTGAAGAGTTTGGAGAAGACGAGAGAAGTGAACAATCTAGGACAACATAGCTGATTGGAAAAATTCTCCAATTCAGCTCACTTGCCAGTTCAGCTATGTTGTCCTAGACTGTTCACTTCCCATGCCTTCTCCAAACTCTTCACCCCTTTACTGATTAACCCTGTGTGTACTTTTCTTTTTCACACATCTTTGACCTGTATTTTACAGTATATCGAAAGCCAAAACTTTTATTTTTCATCCTGAATCGAGTAGAAAATCAATTTTTTGCCATCTGTGTTTTAAATGTTGGAGCTTGTCCTTCACTTCCTGTCCTGAAGACACAGCAGGAAGTGAAGAAAAAACAAAACTCTACAAACTGAACGAAATCCTCTTAGACATTTCAGGTGTTAACATTGGAAAATGTGTCCTATTCTTGTTCTGGTATCAACTGACATTTTACATTTCTTATTATAATAATTGTCCTGTTGACCACTGTCGCAAAGTCTTAGAGGAGTTTAATCTCTTTAGCAGAGACATAGGGGGATTAATTCACTTGATTGGTAATTTCACTGATTTTAAAATATAGAGACTGTAGCATGTACCTTGAAGTTCCTCCTGTGCAGCTGGAGAAATGAGTTTCTATTGGAGGAGGGATGCAGAAGTTCTCTCAGCATGGCCTTGGAAGCATCAATTTTGGGTGAACTTACCCTTCAAAAGACAAGTGCACCACTGCTTTAAAAATCAATATTATAATGAGCCTAGCACACTTGGTAACTCAGTATTATAAATGCTTTACGTTTCTCTCCCGTTCATTGAAGGACACAGGGAACAGATCGGAGATCATGTATTGTAGGGTAATATCGCCACCTGCAGGAGAAGGACGCTAGGCACAAAAAAACTAAAGACCAATTACAGCTTAGGGGCGGCCCCTGCCGGTGGCCAAACCCCCCACCTGCTGACAAGTCTCCAGTTTTTTGCCTAGCGTCAGGAGTAAGGAGCTAATATTTTTTTCTCGGTATTCTTGCCTGCTTCTTCCTGATTTTTTCAGAAGGATTCTTCTAGCAAGTGTTGTCCGGGCGACAGGCTAGGGGGGTTTGGCCACCGGCAGGGGCCGCCCCTAGGCTGTAATTGGTCTTTAGTTTTTTTGTGCCTAGCGTCCTTCTCCTGCAGGTGGCGATATTACCCTACAGTACATGATCTCCGATCTGTTCCCTGTGTCCTTCAATGAACGGAGAGAAAAGGATTTTACGGTGAGTACCAAAATCCTATTTTTTTTACCTGAACTAAGATTTTGCTGTAGTCTGCCTAACTTAGCTCTGTTTCTACCAAAATGGCCACTTGCATCATCACTAACTGACCACCCTAACTCCTGTGGAGGAACAAGAACACAGGAAATACTCTCCTATGCTGTACAAGTCACAGCATTCCGTGCACTTGAGGAAACTCCTCCAATCAGCTAACAAGTTGTGGGGCAAACTGGAAGTTGTGATTTTGTTTGAAACTTGACCATGAACTAAATATTGCTTGCTTGGGTATTGTCGGCTATACCCAAGGGTGTAATTGCAAAGATGGTTGTATTAGCCTTTTTAGCTATAGTGGCGCAATTGTAAACGTGAGCGTTCTCAAAGTCTCCTCAGCATGTGAGCCAGTTGGCTAATACATGGACGGGACTAACAACGGGGAAGAGGGCAGAAGTGTGGCATTCAGTGCTTCAGGTGTATTTACAGCTGAGCCATTTATAGCGTACAGTAGGTTAGTGCTTCCTGTGTACTTGTTCCTCTACAGCAGGGATGGCCAAACTGCGGCCCTCCAGCTGTGGTGGAACTACGAATCCCATGAGGCTTTGCAGGATTCTCACAGCCACAGACATGACTCCCTGTCATGTCATGTCATGTCAAGGTCAGTTGATGTAAGCAGCCACCTTTTTGGTTAATTTTAGCAACCGCGTTGGCGTACACAGACCATGGTAAAATCCTACTCTTTATGGAAAAAGGTATAGCATTTATATTTGAATTTAGTATGTATACTAGGTTCATTATATTTTTGTTTTTTAAAACAAAGGTGCAGTTGTCCTGCAAAGTTTAAAGGTTTTTTTTTTGTTTTTTTTTTATGCGATAAGCTAAAAGGGGACCTCCTGAGGCTAGTCAAACGTGTATAGTCTGTCCTGTTGTATATGATCCAAAACTGGCTGCTGTCAAACTTGTCTCATGGAAAAAACTCTATAGATAAGTTACTGATGTTGGATAGGCTGACTTATAATGAAGCCATCAATTGTGACCTTCAGTTACGCTTCCTCATTACCAGTGATCGGGAGTATCCTCGGCTTGGACAGATGATTGTAGACTATGAAAATCCTTTAAAAAAGATGATGGAGGAATTTGTACCCCATAGTAAGGTAAAGTCGCAGTTTTTGTATTAACATGGATGATGCTTTCTATCTCTGAAGTATAAATATGGTAGTAAACACTTTTTATCCAGAAGTCTAAAGGAGAGACAGTGACAGGGCAAAAGGCTATAAAGATGGAGCCTTTTTCCTAATTCTAGGGAGCTGCAGTAGAAGCTATAATAAGAAAATTGCAGTTCTGTTAATAGCATCGCTCAGTTGCAGCAGGGGAGGGGGTGTTGCACCTAAATATAGTCTTTTATCCAACTTGCAATCGGCTGTTTCAGGCGTTTTGGCTTTATGATTTAGGGATTTATCAGAAGTTGGTTTTCATTAACTGTGTTAAAGGCAACCTACAATAGTTTTGGGTTACATTTATTTGAATTTTTTTTTGCCTTTTTTAGTATGTATGTACTCATGTACTCATGTACTCATGTACTCATGTACTCATGTACTCATGTACTCATGTACTCTTGTTTTGCAATGTGGTTTAGCTAAAACAGCGGTCTCAAAGTATGGGCCAACTCTGGCCCGCAAGCTGGTACTAAGTGGCCAGCTGACAAGTCGGGCTCACGGGCCGCATGCCCGACTTTCGGGAGCAGCTACACGGTCTGCATCTCCGACGGATGCAGAGCTGCTCCTGTCAGCTCCAGCCGGAGCTCTGACAGTTCTGAGCTCCGGCCGAATGATGGATCATTAGTAAGGTCTAGTGCAGACCTTACTAATCACCACTAGATCACCCGGGAACGACGAGTACACGCCTGCACACCGCATGTAATGGTATGTTATATGATTACATGCAGTTACAAAAACAATCACTATCCCTGGATAAACAATTGTGTAACCACTGATAGTGACAGATTCCTAACTGCATGTAATCCTTTCACATATGATTACATGCGTTGTGTAGGCGTGTACATGCAGCACCTGTCACACGATCATTAATTTGAATGGGTGGCAGTTGCTTGTAACATATGCAGACATTAACATTGGTACCGTATATAGTAGCGGCCCTCACGCGACTAAAAAATGTGTCCAGTGGCCCCCAACTAAATTGAGTTTGAGACCCCTGAGCTAAAGAAACAGCACAGCTGTAATCTCCTTTTCCAGGCAGCCTACCTCTCATAAAGAGGGAAGTCTACTGATAATGGATCAGTTAATGCCGTGACTCATTCGCAAGCAAATGTATATTTCAGCTTGAGCTTTTGAGAGCTGTAAACAGGATTTTTCTGTAGGAGATAAGGAAACTGGAAAACTTGTGGAAAGAGTCTAAAATTCCCCCTCTGCCTCTAAACAAAATATTAGTATGTGATATTTTATATCAAAAAGAATACAAGATTTAAAAATATTTCTTCATCCATCACTATAATAAAGTAATAAAACAAGTAACCATGGTGGGGGGGAATTCATCAAAACTGGAGCAGAGAAATCTGGAGCATTTGCCTATGGCAACCAATTAGCTTCTCTCTTTGTTCACAAGAGTTGAAAATGAAAGAGAGAAGCTGATGGGTTGCTGTGCACTGCTGCTCCAGATTTTGTCTGCTCCAGTTTGATCAATTCCCCTCTGTATATATTTCCTTTAAGGTTATGCTCATTCTGCAATTGCATTTTTAATATGGGTTTTTTGTTCTTTTTGTCTTTAGCATTGACTTTTTTTGTAAATGACATGTTCCATTTAAAGCAGTCTGGTCTATTCTGTGCTCCAGTAACTGCTGGGGAGATGCAAGCAATAGTTACTCTTTCCATACAAAGCCGACTGTGCCTTGTAGTTTCATGGCAGCTGCTGGCCTGTGAGTTCCCTGAACCTGGCTTTTTGGTGATTTCAGTTCTGAAGATTGTGAGGGTTTTCTTTGAGCGGTGTTCATCACTAGGAGGTGGTTGCCATTGTTTTTATGCATCCTTTTCATCTAGGGATGCACTGATACTGTTTTTTCCGCTATCGAGTACCGACATTTTTTTTTTTTTTTGGTACATACCAATACCGGAAGTCCCATTAAGGAAGCCAGGCGGCGATTAATGACTCGTGTGTGTAGGCGGTGAGTAATGACTCGCAACCTGGCTTTCCGATTAGCAGCTGACGAGGGAGAATGGAGACGGCTTTCTGGCCGAGAAGCTGGCCAATCAGGAAGCCGGGCAACACATCCTTAGACAGCGCCCGGCTTCCTGATTGGCCAGGAAGCCGGCTCCAGGTGGTGAGGGAGCATGAAGCCGTCTTTCTGGCCGGGCAGCCGGGGGGTGTGTAATGACATGCTGCCCAGCTTCCTGATTTGCCGGGAATCCGGCTCCATGTTACCCTTGTCATAAGTGACAAGCATAGCATGGAGACAGCTTCCTGATACCGGAAGCTCAAGTATCGGGCTAGGCATCGGAGCATTTGGGGGAGTACAAGTACTCTCCCAAATACTCTGCATTGGCACCGAATCCCTACTTTCACCAGACAAACTTGATCCTTTTTTCCCAGTAATGTGTTCCCTCCCATTAAATAGCCCAAATTATTGAAGGATATAAATATTTTCGAGCAGTTAGGCAACACTGCAGCTTTGTACATTATTTAACCGCTCTGAAAAGACAACATCACTGTTGCAGTGGAAAGTATTTATTCCTCTCCCCTCTCATTGCTGTATGAATTTTTCAGTGTTTTCTTATCTGATTCTGAGATTATTAACTACAATTTGCTTTACTCTCCTTTTTAGTCTTTGTCAGATGCCCTAGTTTCACTTCAGATGGTTTATCCCAGAAGAAATCTTTCAGCAGAGCAGTGGAGGAATGCCCAGCTCCTCAGCCTCATCAGTGCACCAAGTACCATGCTGAACCCTGCTCAGTCAGATACGGTAGGATTGTAGGCCTATTAAAGTTTTATATTATCCTTTGCAATAGCATGTGGCTGTAACTTTAACAGTTGCATCTGAAAATTGAACTGACACGGACGTCACAAAGTGAGGTGTATATAAAGGGAAATGTGACCTTTCAGTGTCCTTGCTGGAGTTCTTTGTCCCCCAACTAGCCATTACACACATTGCACTAAGTGAATTCTTACTCTAATGCAGAGGTGGCCCGCAGTGACATTTAAGATTACACCTAGATCCTAATTCTTTAATCTCACCCATATGTACAATGCTGTTAGTGGTGTGGAAGCCACTACGGAATAAGTACTTTTTCTCACACACCACCATTTTTCTGAAATTGTATTGCATTGATGTTGTTGTCAGTTTAGATGGAAGACATGCTTTTCTCATGAGACAAAACTTGTTGGAGGAATTTATCAAAACTGGAGCAGAAGAATCTGGAGCAGTTGCCTATGGCAACCAAGCAGCTTCTCTTTTCAGTTTAGTTTCAGTTTGAAATTGAAAGGTGGGTGCTGATTGGTTGCCATGGACAACTGCTCCAGTATTGAAAAAAAATGCCCCTCATTGTGTGTTTAGGCCGATCTCCCTCTGAAAATGCTGATTTTCAGGCAGTCATGTTGCATATCCTGGTGATATTGAGTGACTGACTTGGAACAAGTATGCAGATGACCAGTTCTAGTTTTGAATACTTTATTCTGTGTCATAGATTTAAAGTTTTGAAGTTAACATGGCAGCTGGCATTTTTTTAGGAGGTCAGCATGACTGGCTTCCTTTCAAATGAATAGTTTACTATAGTAAAAAAATAAATACATAAAATACATTTTAAATGCATTTAAAAATATTTGTTTTGATCAGAAATGATTGAAACATTGCATTTTAGTATTTCCAATGACCCCTTGCAGCTAGAAGATATCAATATTTTCAGAAGGTCAGCAATGGCAGTTTCCATATTTCTCTTATCGTGGGTTTCCTTTTACAGTGTCCTACAAGGCAATTTGGGCTTTATTATTTCTAGCAACAGACTGTTGTAGCAGCGCTCTGTAATAAAAAAAAAAAATTACCAAAAAAACCTTGCAGTTCTCCTTTAAGGTGTATGTTTCAAAAAGCTTACTTTTTAATATAAAACCCTTGCCAGAATGGGAAATAGTAATTGTGCTTCACAGTTAAAACATGGTATAGATCAATAAAGAACTTGAAATGCTGAGTGCGTGAACTGCAAATATATGCTATAGCATAGATACTGATTTTATTTATTTACAGATGCCGTGTGAATACCTTTCACTGGATGCAATGGAAAAATGGATCATTTGTAAGTTTATTTTTTCTCTTTTATTAGATTATATCTGATATCCTGGATTCAATAGCAATAACCTGTTTTGTGTGGCAGTATCTGTGCAGCTGGGAAGTCATTGCTTCATGACCATTGATCCATAAAATATTTAGCTGTGTGTGCAATTTGCTGTGCTGGCTTCTGTGAATATTCCACTAGTGTTAGCTAGGGAATGCTTGGGCTATAAGACCTACTGACTGTTTATTCAGTGAGCCCTAAATCCGAGTCCTTTAACTGCTGTGAAAGCAAAATCAGATTCTGGATTTTATTTGAATTTAATCCTGATGATGAATGAAGAGTTGCCACAGCTGCTCAAGCGGTCCACAGCCATTGTTTTTCTGATGCTATTGGGGATAAGGCCCACTAAGTGACTATATAGCTTGAATGTACAGGTTTTCAGTGAGATTGCGGTCAGTTAAACCCACCATGGCAAACTGTACTGGTGGGCATCTGTTTACAGCACTGATTGCAAGTTTTTTTGGATTCAGTCTGACAGTGTCCACCTGTCGTCAGGTCATCTATCATCAGGAATGGCTCCTATGAATACCATCATGAGGGGTTGACTTGACTTTTTTCCAAGTGAAAGGAAACTCAGTTGGTACAAAAGCCCTTTCAGTTTCAAAGTTATAATGTTTTTTTTGTCAATGCGTTTGTCCTCGTCCTTTGAGGGATACAGAAAGTCTTTAACCTTCAGGTTCTACTGCCGCCTCTGGGCAGCAATTTCTTGCTAGTCTTTTCTTCAGCTCTGCTCTGTTGAAAGACTAACCTATTATTTTGCTAGCACTTTATTTTCTTTTCTTAAATGAAGACTGTTCTCTACATTGTTCCTGCAGTTTGTCTCTCCAGTTGCTGCTGTCAGGCACACTTGTCTTGATGCTGGCTTTTGGAGTACAGCGTCCAGACCCGGATAGACTGGACGGAGTAGCCTGAAGGTTGCCATCATCCACTGGGTTCCACATTGAGGAGCTTTCCACACTCTGTTGTTGTAATTGTTAGCTGCAGAGCGCTTTCCAGGTCTAGAGCCATTGCCTCAGTGCTAGACCAGGTTCTGAAGAATCACTTATTGAGAAGGCTGGTAGTCTTTGTCTAGAGACCACAAGTGTGCTTTGGCATCGTTGGCTGCTTCTAAGCAACCAGCCGCGGAGATTGATAAACTTACCACTGAGAAATTGTAACCTACTTCATAAGGAGATGATTTGGCTCCTGTTGATGCAGTGTGCCCCACTTTGAAGCTAGAGGATAAGCCTTTTGCTTCTACTAGTGCTGTCTCCAGTTTTAGGTCATTCAAAACTCCCAAGGATTCAGAGACTTTCCCTTTGCACCTGCTTTTCCTAATAGTTCTCTATGGAGATTAGTATTGGTTTGGTAAGAATTTTATGCAAAATAATCAATTTCCGCTGTGGATCTGACCATGTCCTCTCTCTTTCCCCGCTCCCCCCCACTTTACAGAATTTGAAAACCTTTTTAAAAAATAGATGAGCACATGTCCAGACTCCAGAACAGTGTATTATTGTATAGAGTGGAACAGCTGTATCCAATTCTGCATACCTGGCTTTATATTATAAAGTTCTTATAATATAAAGCCAGGTATGCAGAATTGGATATAGCTGTTCCACACTACAGTGTGTTCATGTTCTTCATAATATTAAGAAACTGACCTAAAATCATGATTTTGTATTGCTTTAGAAAAAATGTGACCTGTCCCTTTAAGAAAAAGTATCGGTAATTGGTATCGACGAGTACTTGAAAAAAAAGTATCGGTACTCGTACTCGGCCTTAAAAAAGTGGTATCGGTGCATCCCTAGTCTTAAGGAAGACTTTGTTACTCATTCTTGGCCTAACGTATACTGCACAGCGCCAATATGAGATACTTTTTTTTTTCCTGTTTCTTATGGGCACTTAAAAACATGTCTCCATCTTTGCAGTGCATTTGTAATCCCTACGCTTTGTGGTGAGGCCCCGCAATAACAGTTTATGGGCGTGCCCTTCCCCCTCTCATCTGCACCTCAATATTCATCAAGGTGCTGTCCTGAGTATTGGCTCTGCAGATAGGCAGAATTAACCTATCGTTTGGAATACCTGGGTCTAATCTTCAACATGGGTCAGGCTAGAGTGTTCCTTCACAGGACAAACATCAGATTCTAAGGGAATCTACAGTTGTGTTTTTTTTTGTCAGTGTCCAAGGTTAAGGTCAAAGTGTTGTAAGTTAATGACTTCTACCTGTGTCCCTCAATTGATTTAAAGGAAAGGATTTTGCATTAAGTACAAAATTCCTATTTGTCTTGTGTAGCCAATACTGACTTTGCACATAAGAAGGATATGACAACTTTATTATATTCTATTAATTATCCGAGACTTGTTGACTCGAGGGTTGTTTTTTGTCCTTATTTTGCCTAGTGGAAACGTCCTCTAAAATTTAGCAAGAGGTGAGACGATACATTTCCTGTTTTTTTCATATGAAACGGAACTATATTTTTTTGTAGTGTATTTTTCTTGAATTTTGCATTGCTTTGTTTGACTGAATCAGTCCTAAATTATTTTGAAATGGGAGTTGAACAGTGAAAGCTGTGTCCAATAAAAGCAAGCAGATTGGGGGACTAATCACCAGCAGCCTCCCTTCAGCTGATTTATTTCCCATTTCTGGCTTGTCATGCCTTCTACTATACTGTGTGTCTAAGTGGAGGCAGCACTCTTGGTTTTAGAGACATGGGCTTTGCTTCCTGATGGCAGAGCTGCTCCCTGATGGATAGGGTTCAATGACTGATGGAGGAAACAAGAAGTGGGAGAGGAGTTTGAGAAAACACAGATCCACCAAAAGAAAAAAAAAAAAAGCGTATACAGCTAGATACTTGTCTGCAGGTCCATAGATGGATCCTTTTCTCCAACAGCAACAGGGAGCAGCACAGTAGTGACCATCAGATCACATTCCAAACCTTGTAGGACTGTCAGGTGAGTGCTTTAGATCAGTGGTTCTCAACCTGTGTAACCTCAGGACCCGCATTTGTCCTTGGCCATTCAGTCGCGACCCAAGTCGCACTGCAATGGAATGCACGAGAATTGGAGTGGATATTCAGCCTGGGGTCCAGTGTTGACTGCTGTGCTGTAGCAGAGCTCCTTCCACATGTGCATTGCTTGTACAGCTCCCTTGTGTGCCCTGTAGAGGTGCAGAGAACCAGAATGTGACGTCACTCCGGTCCAGGCACCTCTATAAGACACGTGAGGGCGCTGTAAGCAATGCACATATGGATGGAGCTCCCTCGCGGCCATAACCCTCAGCCCACCTCAAGATGAAACTTGGCACCGGGCAGCATATTTTGAATGGCTGCTTGGCACGAGAACTGACAGTGCTGCAGTAGGGGGAGGCTGAGGAGCCTCTCACCTACAAAAGTGGAAGGCATGCGGTGACCCACCGAACACTGGGTCGCGACCCACTTTTGGGTCACGACCCACCAGTTGAGAACCAAGGCTTTAGATGATCAGGAACTGCAGATATACAGCCATGGGACTCTGGAGGATTGCATAGGCACAGAAAGTCAACTGCTATTTTTCAGGAGGAATTTAGGAAACTGCGGGGTCTCTCTTTCTTCCCTTGCTGTGGTGGTCTCCGTTCTGGGGAGTGGGTTTTGTGTGGGCCATGGATCACAGGGATGACTCCTCTGCATTGCCGTGTGTGGGCTGTGGGCTTCGCCCGGCGGACCCCTCTAGGTCTCCTCTTTGTGCGGCCTGTACGCCTGCGCTCCTTTGCCAGTCTCCGGTGCATCCCTCGGGTTCCTCAGGGTGTGGTCGGTACCGCAGGTACCGCGCTGTCCTTGGAGGTGTTTTCCTCTGCCATGGATGGTTTTGTGACGCGCATTGAGCGCGCCTTGACGCGGCGTCCGCCTAGGAAACGGGCTTTGCCAGTCCTGTCCCCTGCCCTGTCGGGGGAGTCGGAGGAGGAAGGGGAACTTCCCACCACATCGCCGCGTCCTGATCCTGGTGATTCCTCGCAGCCTGATTCGGCCAGTGAGCATGAGGCCACGTCTACGCTCCTGGTTCAGGAATGTGAGACGGTTTCTGCGCTAGTCCGCGCTGTTAGGGAGACTCTAAAAATTGAAGACGTTGCCAGCACTTCCGCGCTACCGCACGTGCAGTTTGGAACGCATAAGAGTAGACGTTCCGCCTGAATGATGACAGCTCTGGGGGTCACGGTGCGGTCCTTGGAGGAGTTCGGGTGGCTTCTGAACCTGAGAAAGTCTTGCCTGGTGCCCTCACCACGCCTGTATCTGGGTTTGGTTCTGGACACTGTCGCGGGATTCAGGATCTACGATCTGTTGCCCTGTGTCCTTCAATGAACGGAGAGAAAAGGATTTTACGGTGAGTACAAAAATCCTATTTTTTCAGAGTACTACTTGGGTGCGGTGACTATTTCTAGATATTCACTGTAACATCTTCACCTTCGGACTTTGGGTTCACTTAAATTTCTTTTAACTTGTGGTGCAACTTAATAGCAGAATGAAAGACCACTAATGATTTGGTGAGGGCAGGAAAGTGTTGGTCTAACTTCTGCTTTAAGATGGCATTTTGTATATAAAATATGATGGGCATTCAAAGTTGCGGTCTCCAGTGGCTTTGAAATGGTAAATCCGCTTTTAAGGGGTTCAGTCTAAACCTGAAAATTGGAAATGAAACTTGAAAGAATAAAACTGTCAAGACACAAATGGCATGAACAAACTCCTGTTAAGACCAAAGATTTTTGTTTTGAAACATCCTGTGGTGTTCTTATGAAAAGATTCCTGTTAGTAGAATATTCACAGCTTGCATGATGATCTTTAGTGATATGTGGCAACAAAAAGACTGCATGATATTCTCTGTATATTGGTATTTATCTTTTTTTCTCTCTTTTAGTTGGGTTTATACTTTGTCATGGAATACTGAACACCGATGCCACTGCATTGAATCTTTGGAAACTTGCCCTTCAGAGCAGTTCCTGCCTTTGCCTTTACAGAGATGAAGTTTTTCATATCCACAAGGCAGCGGAAGACCTCTTTGTCAACATTAGAGGGTATGTCACTAACAAAATAGCTTCACTGTTGGTACACTGAGACTTGATGTTTGTAATTGGAAGCGCTAATGATTTTGTTTACCCTATTGATATGTAGACAATCAGCTTTACTTTCCTTTTTTTTGCATGCAATTTCTATAAAATAACTAGGGGGAAAATTGTGCGTGCATTTGTACCTGTAAATCCGTCGTCCCTGTAGCTGTATCAAAAACCCACCATCTTGCAGAAAACGCTGCTGTTAATTCTTCTCTGAGCTAATGGAGATTCCTGTGTCAGAGGGACGTGATCTGATTTTGTTGTGTGTGGTGTTTATTTTTTGTTGTTCCAATTACAGTAAGTGTTGTTCAGCAAACTATTTATTTTTCTTGCCAGAAACTGGGTATGTATTAGGGTGATTTTAGCACCACACTGTTCCTCTTTCTATGTACCGTATATACTCGAGTATAAGCCGAGTTTTTCAGCCCATTTTTTGTGCTGAAAAATGCCCCCCTCGGCTTATACTCGAGCCAGCGTCTCGAGCTGGTCAGGTTTCTTCTTACTTACCTCGCCGAGCCTTTGGTTCAGAGGCGGCTGAAAGAGCCGAAGGATCAGCCGAAGCTACGGCTGGATCCTTCGGCTCTTTAGTGACTAACCCCTGAAGTGAATGACCAACTTAAGTTTTAGAGTTGGCTACAAGTATTGTGGTTACTTTGTGGATTGTCATTTGCCCTGGGTATGTACTTTATTAGGGATTGGGGGACTGCAAAGAACATTCTATTCTCAAAGTTTATTTTATTTGGCATAGGTAAATATTGTCTAAATACAAGAGCCATGTGTATCCATACTTGGATCTTGGTGCACTTTGTGTGTTTTTTTTTTTTTTTTCCACACCTGTGCCGTAGTCCAGCATAAAATGTTCCCTCTGTACAGGAGCTTCCTGTAACAAAGACCAGTCACTGCTGCTCTCTCCTTGCACAGGGGGACTGGTCTTGTATCCACCCCCTGTAGTTTCCGGTAGGCAGCCTGTTCTGGATGGTTCCTCCCACAGCTTTGCTGTCTGAACAAGGATGATCTCACTGCTACTTTACAAGGTAATATCTGGGTTTGTAAAGATAATTGGTACTCGCAAAAGTAGATGTACACAGTTTGTGGCTAATCAATCACGTTTGGTTCCCCGGACTAGTCCTCACCCCTAGCTAGAATAATATCAAATCAGGCAGAGGCGCTGCACACTCTTCTCTTTCCCTCATTGTTAGGTTGACAAGACTTGCTACATGTAGGACACTGAATCGCTAATTCATTATGCAGCAATAGTTCTGTGCCAGATAATAATTTTATTTTCATGGCAGAGCAGATGTGAACTTTACAGATAGAGACGCTCCTATCATTCTACTGTGCAAGTGTATATAGTTGAGTATCCTCCTGCTGTGTCCTTAGTGCTGCTGACCTAGTAATGTACTTAACACCAACTATACCCTGCAGGGCTTATTTTTTTTATTGTTTTAACCACAAAGTGCACTATTTGGAGTAGTCATGTACACAAGTCTTAAGTTCACTAAAGACAAGAATACAAAATGTGGGCAAATTTGTGACTTTTGTACTTGCTGATCAGACTATGTGCCTCGGAAGGTTAAGCTCAGCTATTCAGCCAATCTGTCATCAGTGCCTTTGCAACCAACAATTCCTAACAGCGCACTGAAACTTGTAGCTCCCCAATCATTTGGAAACTGCATGTTGCATGCTTACCCACCTTCATGTTCCTGCTCATTTGTTAGGCACCACAGAAAAGACCCTGCTTGAAGTGGCTGGCTAGTTAGCAGCAAGCCTGTAGGAGAGAAATCTAGGTTAACCGAGGAGCAAGTACCGCATTTAAATAGTTTTTATTACTGCATAGTTGCTGTACTTTTCTCCCTTTTTTTTTTTTAACTGGTTTAAATAAGTGATTAAATTAGGAAAACCTAATTTAAAGAATTACGGGCGTTATTATTTTTAACCCTTGCAATGAGGCTTATCCCCACACTGCAAGGGTTAAGTGCTCGTTTTCATCTAGGGACCATAATAAAAGTTATGCTCACTCGATCCTCGCAGCCAGCAGACTGTTACTCTTGTCCCTGCTGCCTCTCCTTCTCTGTGCCAGTGATGGAATACACTATATAGGATATGATGACTCAAAGGACCTTAGACTGCTGGAGTGGAGGGCCAGTTGGCTGCAAGAGTCGGTTAAACATAACTTTTTTATATTCGTCCATAAATGAAAACGAGCACTTAACCCTTACAGTGTGGGAGAAGCCGTAGTCACTCTGAGCTCCAGAAATTCTGTGTGGAGATGGGAAAAAGTTCCAGAAGGACAACCATCACTGCACCGATCTGGCCTTTTATGGCAGAGTGGCTAAACGGAAGCCTCTTCTCAGTGCAAAACACATGAAAGCCTGCATGGAGTTTGCAAAACACCTGAAGGACTCTGACTGTGAGGAACAAGATTCTCTGGTCTGATGAAACCAAGATTGAACTGTTTGGCCTTAATTCTAACCTGCCCAATACCATCTCAACAGTGAAGCATGGTGGTGGCAGCATTGTGCTGTGGGGCTGTTTTTTAGCAGCAGGGACTAGGAGACTGGTCAAGGTGGAGGGAAAGCTAAATGGTGCAAAGTACAGGGCTATCCTCAATGAAAACCTGTTCCACAGTGCTCAGGCTGGGCTTGAAGGTTCACTTTCCAACATGACTATGATTCTAAGCACACAGCCAAGACAACACAGGACTGGCTTAGGGACAACTCTGTGAATGTCCTAGAGTGGCCCAGCCAGAGCCTGGACTTGAACCCTATTGAACATCTCTGGATACACCTGAAAATGGCTGTCCACCAATGGTCCCCATCCAACCTGACTGAGCTTGAGGGAATTTGCAAAGAAGAATGCAGGAAATCCCCCAATCCAGGTGTGCAAAGCTTGTCGCGTCATACCCAGAAAGACTCAGGGCTGTAATTGCTGCCAAAGGTGCTTCAACAAAGTACTGAGTAAAGGGTCTGAATACTTAAGTACATGTGATATTTCAGTTTTTCTTTTTAATAAATTCAGACATTTCTAAAATTCTGTTTTCACTTTGTCATTATGGGGTACTGAGTGTAGGGTACTGGGAGTGTAGATTAATAAGGAAAAAAAAAAAAAGAATTTAAACTGCATCAGGCTGCAACATAACAAAATAGAAAAAAGTGAAGGGGGTCTGAATACTTTGTGTGTGTAAAATATAGATTCATATTCATTCCAGTATATAGCTGGTAGTTGTATGTTTGTTGCTTTCTACTGCATGAATTCCCCTCCCTTTTTTTTTTTTTTTTTTCAGTTACAACAAAAGAATAAATGACATCAGAGAATGCAAAGAAAGCGCCATATCACATGCGTAAGTAAATTTATTGTATATGATTTTTTTTTTCTTCAACAATTTTGTTCCTGTTGCTGTGAAAGACTAATTTAATTGTGTTTTCTAATGAGGTTAACAGTGGTTGTGTTGTGTAGAAGCTCCTGACCTCTTCTTCCTTTTTTTTTATTTTTTTTAAATCAAGTGGTGCAACACATAGAGAGAGGCGCAAATTCTTAAGATCTGCCCTAAAAGAACTTGCTACAGTTCTCTCCGATCAGCCTGGTTTGCTCGGGCCCAAGGTATGTATTGTGCAACTATGTACTAATTTACTGTTCATATTATTCATTCATAGTTTTAAAGAAAATCATTCTTTTGCAAAAAAAAAAGAAATGTATTTTGTTATTGGTATTAAATTACCTTTACATCTCAATCTGCATACAGCTATGATTTTTAAATCTTCTAAAAAATGTAAATGCTGCATTGGTGCACATATGGCAACTGGGGGTATTCTATGGGGTACACTGTTCCTCCAGAAGCCTTATTTCCTGCATGTGTATCCTTTTGCAATAGTATTTGCAATAAAGATTTACATGATCAAAAAAAAAAAAAGAATACAAAACTATGTATACCAATATACAAAGAAACTGTACTGTCAGTTATGACAATCTTACAGGACGATAATAAAACATAAACTGGAGATAAGGCATAAAAGATTATCACACTTATCGACTCTTAGGCACAGTGGTGAGATGAGATGTTGAATCTCCATATAAAGCGAAAAAATGCAAAAAAAAACAGTGCAGGGTTGGATTCGGAGACATCACGTGGAGGAGCCAAAAGAAAAGCTGACACAGACAAAGGCGAGAGGAAAAAGAAAAGTGCCAAGGAAAGATAGGGATAAGAGAAAAAAAGGGATGCTGTGTGTAGGGGAGGAAGTAACATCTGTAGACGTATTATCAAAAAGTTCCATCACAAAATGAAAAGGTGCCAGTAGGTGTCAGATGGCGAGTATTTCTCAATCCAGGGAGACCATACTTTTTCAAAGTTATGCATGGTATTGTCAAGTTGCGCCGGCATGTTGTGCTTACAGTCATGAGGATATTTTCTCTCTTGAATGCAATCTAACCATATGTCTCTTCCTTCTAGGCACTTTTTGTATTCATGGCATTGTCATTTGCCCGAGATGAAATTATCTGGTTACTTCGGCATGCAGATAATATTCCAAAGAAGATTGCAGATGACTTTATGGATAAGTAAGTCCAAGTTCCTGTATTGCATGCTCATGTATGGAAAACCTGTTATTTTTCAGACACATAGGCTTGCCACGCTGAATGAGACTTATGCCACATTACTATAACGAGTTCCTAATAATTTTTGGGGTAGCTAAAAGCATTGCTGATCATGTAAATGCTCTGGGGCCTGAAAGTACAGGGGCACCAGTTTTGTCTGCCGACACAGTGATTCATCAAGTAGCAACAGCACTTGGCAAACCAAATTTTAACTTTATGTAAAGAGTAAGTATGGAAGGGTTAGACCCTTTGAGTTTTTATTGCAGTCTGTATCTTTTGGGGAGGTTCATACCTGTATTTGTACTAGGGACTATGTCACTAAGAGAAAATGAAGGGAAATCAAGAATTTTGGAGAAGTCTCAGGTACAAGGGGAAATCTTCCAGTGAGGATACCTGTTCTGGGGACAACTGCCTAAAGAGGGAAATCCTGTCTCTTTTGGGAGATTTCATTTTGCTTTGTGCTGTGGCATCTTTTGGGACAAAAAATGAAGGGAAATTCCCCTGTAGTACTTTTAACAGGAAAAATATCATCTTTGCCCACTCTATCCAAAACTGGCTGCATTCACTCTTCTACTAGAATAGTGACAATGAACTTACAGCATGGGGGTCACCCTGACTCGTCTGTGCAAATGAATAGCTGTCATCAGTAGTTGACAAAGACGCTGATGACAGCCATTCATTTAAAATTACCCCCACCCCCGCTATGGACTTTCCCGACTGAGTGCCTGCAATCTGCTTCCCTGAATGTCCCCTCTGATCGTTGCTGCTCTCACTCCCCTATATTGGCAGAGATGGAAGAATCAGAGCCGACACAGCGGAGCATTTCTGCTGGTGCCCGTCAGAGGGAATGGGGTGCAGGTGGAGTGCAAGAACAGTAAATGCGTCATATTTACTCATTTCTTTACTGAACAAATGCTAGCATGATCAGTACTCCAGTGTTCATTCATAATTGAGGATATAGAAAAAGTAAACAAGTGAAAGTACTAATTCTCCAGTAACGAAAGGGCAGTGAGCACTCTGCGCATAACACTTCCTGTCCATTCATAGCTGGGGAGCTAGTAAACATAGCATCTTTTCAGTTTGTGAATGGACAGGAAGCTTCTATATTGAGTGCTTCCTGTTCAATAAGTACTGGGGCTGCAGAGAAGATTGAGGACTCTGTGTGCTCAATCTTTTTTTCTATCTCAAAAGGTAAATATCAGATACCACTGCCCACACACCATAATGTGCGCGCAGTGCTATGCATTATGTACATACGCTGCACAAAACTTTGCCATGTGCTGCCAGACACCTAAATGAATGTTATTTAAAAAAAAAAATAAAGCCCTGTGATGTGTGGCGCACTGCTTTGTGCTTTATATTTTTTTACTTTTTGAAATAACATTCGTTTAAGTGTGTGGCAGCACATGGCAAAGTTGTGCAAAACGTTGCCGTGCATGGTAATGTGCTACGTTGCAAATAAATGGATGCCTGCGCCATTTTAACATGACACCCACCAACGCAGCACTTTGCAGGGCGCTGCAGATCGGTTGTTACCACAACACATAGGTGAGAGGCCAACCTCCACTCTTTTAGCAAAGGTTACTTATTTACAGTTTTGTGTGCCTTTTTTGGAGTTTTGTTTTACCATTTTGCCAAAAGGAGCAACTTAACATTTACAAATATTAACTCAACACAGTTTTATCTTGGATTTCGTAGGAATCTTGTACATTATGGAGTTTTTTGTGTGTGATTTTTCGGTGTATTTTTTATATTGAAAATTTTGTTTGGATGTGGATGAACATGTGTGTACGTGTCTTGGGACCTACAAAATCGGTAGCACCATTTATTCCACCTATCCTGTGCTTTCAGGAAATGTATGGTTTTGGGGGTCTTTTACTCTCTAAAAGCTGCATTTGAAAATTAGAAAAGTCTAAAATGGTCTAGTATTCATGTTTTACTTCAAAGTGCAGTTTTCTAAAATTTCTACTGTTTTTGTATGCTTTGAATGCTACTTCCATAAGGATGAATGATAACTTATCTAAAACGTACATGCAGTCCACTCGTGTGTAAGTCTGGTGTTAATTGTCTCCACACAGGCACATTGCTGAGCTTATATTTTACATGGAAGAACTTCGGGCGCATGTCCGGAAATACGGACCTGTCATGCAGCGGTACTACGTGCAGTACTTGTCTGGCTTCGATGCAGTAGTTCTTAATGAGCTAGTACAGGTAAGGGTGCAATGCTTAGTCTATACACAGTGGGCCTGATAAACTATGATTGGCGGTTGTAGAAAAATGCAAATTTTCACCCGTCCCATCTGATTGTGGCACATTTGCATTTTAGATAAACTATTGCTGCATAGCGTTTAGTTTAAGAGTAGAAACATAATTTTAACTTGTTTTGTTCCATAATCATCTTGGTGCAATGCGGTGCAACTCTGTTGTGCCAAACATTGACAAACTCCTCTCCTAAAAAAATTTGTGGCACAGATCATGTGACGGTCTGTGACCGTGTGCCTGACATGTCAGCTGACTGCGGGCCACATAGTACCGATTCGCGGGCCGGAGTTGACCCGCGGACCGGTACTTGGAGACTCAAATTTCCACTCACCCTCACTTTATTTTTACTCGCCAAATGCGAGCAGGCATGTGGAAATTTTGAGCCCTGCTGTAGAGGACATTTGCATTCACGGTACATGCATTAAATGGTCACGTAAGCAAACGCAAGGTCATTTGAATCTTTAGCAATCGCAAACCTCTGAAAAAGTGAAGGGTGTGCCAATTTGTGCCTTCATCAACCCAACTTAATGTTAGGCATGTTAAGTATAACACGTCGCAATGTAGCTTCAAAAGGGGAATAAAGCTCTTAAACTAAAACACATACATTCACTGAGTTTTTTTACCATTGCGCTATGTTATGTAAAAGTGGCACTAATGTGATATCATTTTAATCCATGGACTTTATTTTTGGGGGTTAATTTTAAGGGCGTGCACATTCTGGAAACATTGATTGGGAAAAATTACAGATTTTTTTTTCACTATTTCTAATAAAAACAAGGAAATAAAAATATGTATCCAAATTTGCTGCCAAATTAAAGCAGTCTGTCGTGAAAAAAAAAGTGTAATAAATTAAGAAAACTGAAGCTAAACCTTTTTTTTGTCTTTTTAGTTCTCTTAAGGGTCAAAGGAGTATATTTACTAATGTATAATAATAATATAAAAATATTTACTAATGTACTCCTGTGACCCAAAGTCAGCATCTAGTGGGCTACTGTGTGCTATTTGCTGACAGTGCGGAGCCGTGCTACAATGAGTGCTGGAGGAACAGAGAGGGGAGGGGGGAATCCATGTGGGGAGTGTTGACTGACGGCAAGCAGTGGGTGGGTGCAATAGCCAGCCTGCTATTGCAATTTGAAATGGCCAATAGAAGGCTGGCTATTGCACCAGCCCACTACCTGCTGTACTTACATTCAGCTGCTATCTGTGGAATCTTGCCAATGGCAGCGGTCATTCGCTGGCTGAAGCTATTCAAGCGTCATGTGCTTACGATACAATTATTTAAAAAAAATGATAACTGGTGGGAAAAAAGTAATTTTCAGTTTCGGCCGTACAAATTCTGCTGGGGAGGTGCATTGCAGTGCCATTCATTTCAATGGCATCCCAAACACGCCTCCCACCCACAGTGTGATTGCCCGCACTGGAATGCAGGTACCGCAATTCCATGCAGCCCTACTCCAGTGTGTCCTGGATCCCCACAAAAAAAACAAAAACCTATGTAAATATCTTTCCGGTAGTCCACTCTTGCATCTCACAGCAGCAGACCTGTCAGCAGGTCTCAGCATTACTACATTGGAGGGAGCCATGTTTGTGCTCAGACTTCCTGAAAATGAGGATTTGTAAAGGCATATGTTGGGGGCTAGGGGTGTACTCTAGAAGGACCAATAGATGATGCAGTTAAAGGTGTGCCCATGCAGCGTATGATGCCTCCTGTTTGCCAAACATGCTTTTTATTGCTTCAGGTAAATAATGAATTAAAAGGTCTAGTAATTTGACTTCTGTTTAGAACTCTGCGTTTGGGTATGGTGTGCTTACAAAATCCTGATTCCTGTCTTTTTGATGGTGTCTCCAACAAAACAACTTTTTTATAGGGATGAAGGGTAAAACTGTAAAATGTACCTAAAGTAAGAAGTGTGAATGTAGCCTAGTGACTCTTACTAAAATGTGGGGGTTAGACTACACACGCAGTGTGTGTCTTCATTGAACCTCATGAACCATTCCTTGCTCCTAGTTCCACTGCTAGTTACTGAATCGGTTTAGGCATTACTCGGCATCTATTTCCCTGCCGCTTAATGAGCTGAGCTCTCTAAATCTCTGACTAGGCTAGGGCAAAGCTGTACACATTTTCAATGTCATTATGCTATTACGGTAGCTGCACATTCCAGGTTAACAAAATAGTGTGGTGTGGTACAAAGGTGACCAAGTAGCTAAATTGTTTGAGGCCATTTTTGCACACTAGATGGCACTGTAGCTTTATGGTTTTTCTGCCTCCCATCAAAAAAAAAATAATATTTTTAATTGTGCAACAATGTTTAAGAATGTTGCTTTAATGGAATACAGATCAGATGTTAGATTTGAGGAAATCATTGATATAATTCTAATTGTAACGTCAGTATGATAACTTAGTCACAGAGCAGCCCTCCAAGTATAAAGGTTGCAGGTAATGTAATTTGCATTATTGAAAGGGTCAGCTAGGTAAATGATTGGATGCGTGACTTAGATAAGGTGGGATAAATGTCCGACATTAATCATTTTTTGTATTATCTCTTCAGAATCTTTCTGTATGCCCAGAGGATGAGTCAATCATCATGTCCTCTTTTGTAAATACGATGACATCTCTGAGTGTAAAACAAGGTAACGTATGCATGCATTTCTCATATACTGCTGCACCTAAGCTAACCATCTAATATAGTTCATACCCTTTACCCCTTCTCCATCTTCAGGCTTGTCATATCCAACAACATTTCTCTCCTGTGTTGAATGATAGTTTCAATACAAATTAGTAAACTAAACATGAGATTGTAGTCCATCACAGGCGTCAACTTGGAGTGGTGGCTACTTTACGTCACACACAGGGAACTTGGGGAACAAAAGTAGCCAGAAGGAAGGACAGTGTCAGCACCAATTCAGAGATGATTGGAGGATCTTCAGCTGAATGATGCACAAGTTTAGTGTCACTTTAACTGAAACATTGCAACAATTGATGTAACAGGAATAGTAATTGGGTCAGATAGATATTGTATTGTTTTTTTTAAATAATTGTACCTTCACTTTCTTATTAGAGCAGTGGTTCAGTGTGTCAAAATATGACTGTAAAGTTGAATAGGCCCCAGAGTTTGTCTGCACTGCCTAGTTGACTCCCTAATCTAACAGACTTGGTCAGACACTCCTTCACTTCCTTGGCAGTAAAGCCTGCAACAGTGGTGGCAGTTCAGATAAAATAATGGAGTGTGAGGGCCGGGAGTAGATTTCTACTGTGAGAAAATTGTATCTTTAGGCTGTTTGAAGGGAATTGATTTTGCATTTATATATATATATA